GGTGGAGATTTCCTCTACTCGGACCGTGAGGTGGAAGTGATGAAGGCCGATATCCGCCTTGCCAAGCTGCACGGGGCCGACGGGCTGGTGTTCGGGGCCCTCACTGAGGACGGGCGCATCGATACAGAGCTCTGCACAGCGTTGCTGGGTAAGTGTCTCCAGACAGAGGTGCTCTGCTGAGCTCAGTGCGATATCTGGGCTGTGGCTGGGGGTGGGAGTTCAGTGCTGCTTTGTCTGGTTAGGGTGCTTCAGTCTGCAGGTCTTGTCTGTGGCCTTACCATGGTTCTGCAGCTGTGACACATGAAACAGGTAAGAAGCTTTGCAGACCAGGGGCCACTACCCCATGTAGTTCACACAGAGTTTGAGGCCAGCTGGGACATATGGCAAGGTCTAAGAAGGAGAGAGGTGAGCTGCTTTGAGGGCACCATAGTATTAAACTGTTGGATTCTCTCCTTTGTCTGTTTCCTTTGTCCTTTGTTCCTTTCCTTAGGTCCCTGCCACAGGTGTCTAGGATACATCTCTCCTGGATTTTTGCCTTTTGTGTAGCTGGCAGCTCATTTTTTCCTCTAACACATCCAATGAGAAAGCATAATAAGAGAGGTGGAAACATATGAAAAACTACAGAAGCTGCAGCAGGAAATTGTTAGTCCATACCCCTAACATGCAGAGAGAAAGAGAATTTGCTTCCACATCTTTCCTGTCAGCTACAGCCAAACCTAAAGAGGGCTGAGCCTTTCCCTGGTGATGTGGTGCCGAGGTTTTCATGTGAAGGTGAATGTGCTGTAGGGAGTGCAGCTAAAGAGTGAGATCTTGCCAGGATTTGCCTCCACTGGAGCAATGAGGTGCTTTGCTGGAACCAGTGTTTCCAGGGCAGGAGGCAGTTGGAGTTCTTTTCATAGAAATAAATAAGCTTTGCCCAGTAAATAGAGCACCACTGTGATCTGAGAGCAGAAATTGTAGGTAGTGAAAGAAATCAGAAAAATCAGCTCTCCTGCTTTCAAAGAGCACTGGTCCTGTCCTTTCCCCAGGTAGATGAGACAGCTTCCCTGCTTCCTTCCTGCAGGGAAAGACATATTTGGTGGGAATGAGGGCTCTGCATGATCCAGATGAGATGGGAGATTTCTGGTGTTACTCATAAAAACAGAGGTTTGTTGCTTCCTCAGAGGGCAGAAGAACTCGAGCCTGGCCAAAGAGCAGCAGCAGTGTTGTTTCAAGCAAGTACTGGGACTCTTCTGAGCTCTCCATGAGTGGCTGAGAAGCTTTTGCCCTCTGTCTCACGTGCTTTTCAGGTTCTGGCACAAGGAGCTCTGTGCCAGCCCTGACTGACCATGTCCCTTCTTATTGCAGCAGTGTGCCGTCCCCTGCCAGTCACGTTTCACCGAGGTGAGTCACCTGGGACAGCGGCTCTGGCAGTGACCAGCCTCTGTCCCGCTGCCAGGGGATGGTGGGGCTGGAAGGGAGCTGAACTTGTGGAGGGGGGAAAGCTCTGCATGCTGCAACTGTGAGGTTCCCCAGGAGGGGAAAGGCCCAGGGGGCCCAGGCTTGGGGGCTGTGTCACTGCCCTGTGTGGGGAGGAGGTTTCTGAGGAGCTGAGCATGGTGACCCTGCCTCTGCTGCGAGGGGGACATCATAGTCAGGAGCTGTGGCTCCCTGTCGGGGTGGCCAGCTGTGAGAAGGATCCTTCTGTCATTGTCTCTTGGGCTCCTGATCTGGCTGGGTGACAGGGCTTGAACACGATGAGCTGAGTGGTTTCTGAGCTGCTCCATCGATCTTTCAGCCTTTGACATGGTGCATGACCCTGTGGTGGCACTGGAGACCCTGATTTCTCTGGGGTTTGAGCGGGTGTTGACGAGCGGCTGTGACAGCTCGGCGCTGGAAGGATTGTCCTTAATTAAGAGGCTTGCAGAGCAGGTCAGTGTCCCCTGTGCTCCCCTGGGTTACCTCGGCTGCTTCCTGGGCACTGCCTGGAGGCAGCTCCTTTGTGGTAGCCCTCATTTCTGTAAGGGAACTTCTCTTCAGGAGCGCTTGCCCTTCTTGTCTGACTTGGACTGAGTCTGTTTTTCCAAGTCCACATGGGCTGGACCCCAAAGTCTCCCGCAGCAAAGGCTGGTTGCGTTGTTCTTGCTCACAGGCTGGGAGGAGGGCGGTAAGAGTTGGTTTCAGCAACTGATGTGATTGTTCCATGTAAACAGCAAAGTGAGGTCCCTGCTGGGATCTCACAGTTCTGTTAGGAAAAGGCAGCAGATGTACCTCCCACCAGGATGCAGCAGAGGTATCCAGGTGGGATAGAGAGGTAGGAGGAAATGGTGACAAGGTGTCTTAGCTGTACCTGCCAAGTCTTTTCCCCTTTTCATTGTAAAAGATGAATAGTACGGAACAGATGGGTGAGAGCACGTGGATCATAAGCTGTGGTGACATCCATGAGCTTACTGGAGGTGCTGCATGGAAAGGTTCTTTGCTGCTCCACAAATGTGTGTGCAGATGTAGCACTGAACAATGTCACTAACACCTTCTTCTTCTTTCAGGCGAAGGGCAGGATTGTGGTGGTGCCAGGTAACAGGTTTTGTCATCTGTACGAGGTCCCATAGTCCCTACCCTGCTCCCTGGCCTCTCGCCCTGGGATATGTACTGTCACCTGGCTTTTTGAGCCAGGTCCCCAGGAGGAGAAGCTCCTGCCCTGGTGCAAGTAAAGGCCAGAGAGCCAGCTGGGGATGGCAGAGCCCTGCTGCTGCTGCTCACTGGAGGATTTGGGGACAGCTCTAGATCTGTGGGAGAACATGAGCCAAAGCTGCTTCCATCTCTTGTCACGTGCCCACATCTCTGTTGTCCCAAGGGCTGTCTCTTCCCCTCTGTGTAGATGGTGCCTGTCCCTTAGGGGCTGGGTCCCGGGGTGATGTCAGGTCTGGGACGGTGCCATCTGTGCTGTATGTGACATGGGGATTCTTCCCACCAGGGGGTGGCATCACAGAGCGAAACCTGCAGAGGATTCTGGAAGGCTCCACCGCTTCTGAGTTCCACTGCTCTGCTCGCTCAGTCCGGGACTCGGGAATGAAGTTCAGGTAACAGAATTGTATATTTTTTTTTTAAATTAATTAATTTATTTTTTAACAAAACTGCACAAGGGAAAAGCTGGATTAATGTGAACATGGATTAGTAGAACAGGCATAAATGTCAGACAGCTCTCTGGGTGCTGATTGTGCTCTCACGGTTGGGATCATGATGCCTGGCTCTGTGTTCTGCAGTGTGAGAATCCAGCGGTGCTCGTCGTCTGGACACGAGCTCCATGCGGAACCAGGTCCTTGGGGCATTCC